GGTTTTACGTTCTTTGGCAAATTACGCTCTGTTAGCCATAAATCTTACTATTTTTTGACCGCCTTTGAATCAAGACCCCTGGACCATATGGGGAGTTCATTTATACATTAAATGGCATTGTCATCGTGATTGAAACTATGCTGAAAATTTCAAGTCTCTAACTTGTCGGGAAGTCAGTTTAAAATCGATTGGAAATTTCCGCGATTTGCGCGGGATGACCAAGTTAAATAAAAGCTTATAAAAAGCAGACAAATCGGCCCGTAAATACATTAGATATAAGATTTTTATCTTTTTTTTTGTCGTGGTGGACCTACCGATGGAAACACCCATATACAAATAGAAACGGTCAAACTACATGCTCAAAAACAGTAATTGATGCGGTGTTTTCAAGATATTTTACCGCCCTTATGTCACAAGTAGATATTCAATAATCATATTTTATTAATCATACCGATAATTTCATGTATTACAAGAATTAAAAATGAAAATGAATAAACAAATTAAATCAGCAGAATGAATAAAATTAATGTTTAGTTTCTAACCTAACCTTCATGTGTATGTATGTAACTGAATCGCCTAATAATAGGTTTACATATAAAAAGATTATTCTCGTTTTTGAGCTTAACTCCTTAATCTGAACTTTCCTTAATCTGTAATTAGAAAAAGAGATTAGCCATACAAAATTTATATAATTATAAAATTATCTCAGATTAAACCGATAACTTTTTGGTGCCCAACCTAGTTTTACCGATTATACTTGCGAAGAAGAGGAGGAATGTCAAATGTAAAAGTAAACAAAAATTGACGCTAGCAAGGAAGAGGTTTGTAAAGGTATTTTTAATAAAATATTAAGTTAAAATATATTTAAATAGCATAATATATGTAGCAGAAAAAATTGACCACGGTGGCACAGAGAAGAAGCTTAACTTTTCCTCAAGTTGTGAGAATAACAAGCACAACAAATTTGACAGCTAACGAGCTTATATTGAGATTATATTTATATGTAAAAGTACTTTTATGCTTGGCGTACGCATATGTTTACACCTCAAATTTCATGAGTACGTAGTACTCACGCCTTTTTTTAATCTAAAACTAATAAAGGTAGAAGAATATATATATATAAGAATAAAGGTAGTCCTTGAT